TGCTTCCACCCTGAACTTGATGGGGCACACGTGGTCTTTGTGGCCTAGAGCTGAGCAGAAGCTGAAGATGGGCGGAGTATGTTCTGGTGTGATGTGGAAGGGGTGAGATATGCTGCCATTGGGGAGGTTGATGGTCACCATGCATGGAATGAGGGTGATATCCTCTACCACATCCTGGTCAGGTTCAATAATGGCTATTGCCTTCCCTGTACACAGGTGGGGCAGGAGGGGAATTTTATATTCAAGTTGTTTAATTTTGCCATAACTTTTGAGGCCCATGTGGAGCTTGTCCTTAAAGATATCATGGTGCTTGGGCATCAGTCAAATATGATGAATAGGTCATTTGCCTCATTCCATCTTGTGCACGCCATGCAAATAATGAAATCTTCATTGTTAATTTTAACATAAAATTTGGTTTTTGATGTGTCCACCACTTCCTCCATGGTCATGAACCTGACATCCACCCATCCTCTATGTAAATTTTAAAATTTACTGAAATGGTGTTTGGAAAAAATCATGGAGAAGGCCTCCCTCATTTTCTCCCATGACTCAAAGGGAGATATCACTGACCATAATTCTAAGGCCATGCTCGAGGGAGGACAAGCGTTGAGAGTGCTTGATTTTTGTGAAAGTGCCCATTTTTTGCAGAAATTGCAAAACTCCAGGTGCAGCGCTATGCTCACCCTTTTTGGGGGAGGTTGTCCCAACATACTGCTGGGGCATTTTTCTCTGATGGGTTGGGTGGGTTTAGGGCCTTTTGCACTGGCCGCTTTTGCCCAACTGGTGTTGGTGCATATGAATCTGCTCATTTTCCTGGTTGATTGTCAAATTTGGATAATTTGTGGAGAATTGTGTTACTAATAGTGATAGTAACGGGAAAAATTATCTCAGGTCTTTTATAAGTAGCACTATTGTATGCTGAATTTTAAAATCTATGTAAGTATTTTTAAATGCATTTATAAATATTTTTAGATATAGAAATGTTATCACTTGATTGATTTTTTAATAAATTTATACCATCTTTATATATAACTAAAAAGATAGATATTATAGAAAACATAGGCTACTTCAAACCTGTAAAAAATAAAATCTTAATATAAATTTCAATACTTTAAGATATTATACATAAGTCCTTTATATACTAATTAAAAACTAATATAAAATTTTTATATTGATATGCCAACAACTTTTTACCTTGGCTCTATATATTAATTCATTTTTGAATAAAGGCTCAATTAAAAGCAGCTAAACTTACATTTTATGCTTCTAATATACTTGTAAAAAATGCAAAGGAATTAGCAGAAAGGATTTTATAATCTCAACATTAGCAAATATGTATACATGGATGAGACTTTTATCCATGCTAACAATATGTTTTTAATTGATATAGCTCATTTATTTGTTTTATATCTTAAAAATGCCATAAATATAACATTAGTGCAACTAAAAGTATTGTACAGATTGCTTAAATGTTACTAAGGAAGTTTAAAAGAAATTCAGATAAGCATTGTTGGTTTAGTGGTATAATGGCCGCCTGCCACGCATCCCTGGTTCAATTCCCGGACAATGCAATTTTATTTACGATTAAAATAGTTTAATACCTATTACTATAGCGAATATATATATACAGTACGACCTCCATATATCGAATTTAATGGTTCCTAAGAAAAATTTGATATATAGAAATTTCGATATACAGAAACCTTTCTTATTATTATTCGTAGGCTAGGAAAAGCATGTGACTTAAAAAATTCGATAAGAGGAGATTTTTGATATAGAAATTTGATATACGGAGGTCCTACTGTATATATATTTACGCCATATCTAAAAAACAAATTGTCATGCTTCTATTTTAATCTTTTTTATGTTGATAAATTTTACACCAGCCAGGGTTCCTATAAAAGCTCCATCACCAGGCTTGAGTCTTTCATTATAGTCAACATATATTAACTTTTGTCTTCTTGACCAAAAAACAAGAAGATATGCCTTAACTTTTTGCCTTTTGTTAGAAATTTAACCTTACAGTAAGGCTCTATAATTCCTGTTGGTCATATTGGTGAATACATGTATCTTTTTAAAAAAGATTCAGCAATAGCAGGAACTACCCTATATGACATCCAACCCAAATCTCCCTTTTTTAACTCCATATCATCAATTAAATAATGATAAAGAGGGGTTGTGAAAATTATGTTCATCCTAGCCAGTTCTAGGTTTTGAACCTATGTTGAACAAAACCTGTACTAGAGTGGAAGCAGGAATTACCCTGCCATACTGACCATCCTTGTTGAATGTATGCATTTGAATACAGCCCTAATGTAGAGCCAAATCTTGTTATAGCATTAAAAATATATCCCATTTCACAAGCTCAGTTTGTGCAACCCCTTTCAAGACTGTATCATACATTGAAGGTGGTAAGGTTTCTACTTCATGCATCTTTTGTATTCTAAGGTCTTTGATAGTAATGTTTTGTATAGCAACCCTATCCTTGACATGATACATTGAAGCAAATGTAACAAGCTTGTTACTTGATATGTTAACACTAAAATCTCTCTTCTGATAGTTGTGTTTGAGGTTACCAAAATTTAACTCAACCAAAGTTGCAAGTAATGAACCTCAAAGTGAAGATTTGCATTTTCTTCAATGTGTGTTACACCTTTTCCACAAGTTATTACGTGAGCATTTCCTGCAGAGAGGCTCCCTTTGTTATATAAAGCTTTTAAATATGTAAGAGTTAGGAATCATTATAGTATAGTATATATGCCATATGGATCCACTAATGACAATGGTGAGATTCTCATAATCCTGATGTGCCAGCTGAGGATATTCACTACCTATAAAAGTTATTGATGAGCATGTGTTAATTATTACACAGTTTGATTATCTCCTCATTAAAATTCATAAATCAATTCTAATAAATTTTAGCTGATATATTTTCCAAAGCTAAATGTATGATACAAATTCAGCCAACTTTGATTTTCTGATAAGATGTGATATTCACTTTTGCATACAACACTTTAATCAGCCTTTTGTTGATATTTTCAAGAAGATATGGCATTTGTCAGTTCTTTTTAAATAAATGGTTCTTTTATGAGTTTTGGTTTGACAGTGTCAGCTGTCTCTTTCATTTTGATATCTGAGAGTTTAAACAATCTAATTATTCATCCTTCCAAGCCAATTTTGCAAAAGAGGATGAAAACAATATTAAAAAAACAAAAAGTATGCTAAGAGAAATACTGAGTATACTGAGTTGCACCCAAAATGCCTTAGCAATCTTTTCTTGTGAGTCTGTCTTAAAAATTTTAATAAAAAATATCAAAAATAAAATAAAAATTTATCTAAAACAAAGCTAAATTCTTCTCTAATCTAGCTTGTTTTTGTTTGATTAAAAAATGATTGTAAAAATATATAAACCTGTGATATGTAAATTACTACTTAATTTAATCTATATATATTGTAACTTATCTAAAAACTGTAAGACTCTATTCTAACAGCAATTCTTGGAAATTTAAATTTATTTGAGGTATGCTAACCGTGGGGGATGGACATTATCACTAAGCAAAGAGCAAAAGAACTGAACAAACAAATGAACAGAACAATAAACTAAAAACAAAAAAACTCCAACCAAGTGGGAGATTGGAAACTACTAACACACCATGACAGAGGGTGAGGGGGGTCAGGCAGTTCTTCTGCAGACATACTTTTCACAACAATATTATAAAAATTGTGGAAATTGACTAAAGCAAGAGCCATGACATTGGGGCATCAGTGTAGTGTAGGGGATGGCGGTGTAAAATGAGTTTTCATCCTCATCATCAAGATCAGCTTGGTAGACAGCTTTTATAAATTCCTCTAAGTGATGTTTAGCTTGAATGCAGGCATTGGGGAGTTGGGCATAATTGGATAAACTTTGGTGGTTGTTATTGGCAAATGGGTTGAAATCTTCTAGTTTAGCAACATGCATAACAGTGGCTTTGCCATCATCAAATAATTTGCTGATTTTGCTATAAGCTGCTTCAGAGAAATCAGGGGGTAGTAGAGTGTGCTCAGCCCTAGTTGTAATTGAGCCACTGATTAGGCCACTGCTTTGTGTAGATTGTGGCAATGTGGAGAGGCCACCACTGCTAAGGTGAGCTGGTGGTCACTTTGGTAGGGGGTGGCATTAGGTTTAGGAGCAAAACATTTGGTGGATGAGGTTTTGTAAAAATCAGAAAAGAAAAATTTGGCCTGACCATAATTGAACTGGCCAAGAGGTTCGCTGGAATCCTTGCTCATAATAAACTTACCTGATTTTTCAACCTTGGCCAATAGATCCCATAAATTTTGGATCACAAAAATAGTGGATGACAAAGTTTGGTGGGAAGTAGTTGAATGGGCTGCTTGGGTGTGAATGGTGGTACAAGCCTGAATCTGATTGGCAGGGGTGTAATTGGGTAGGTTAATGTGGGCAGTTGGTTTGGTGGGGGCTGATTTATCACTCTGGTCCATCAAATGAGAATGTTGAGTAGGAAAAGGCAACAAAACGCCCCATTCAGAATCCTCTGAATAGGGCTATGAAGCCGCATCAGAGGAAGTGGCATGGGCAGGGTTTTTTGGAATGGTTAAACCCAAAACAGAGGGGATAAATTTGGTGACCAATATCCATATAAGCCTAGAAAAGCGCTCAGGTGAAGCTGCAAAATATATGCATGGGGAATTTGTTAGGCTATGGAAGGATGGTGTAGTAATATGATAGCAGTAGTGCAAGTGGCAGCAAGGCGCTCTGCACCAGAGGGAACAGTGAAGATGAGGTTGGGCTGAGTCCCATAAGCCAGAAGTCCCACCATCAACTGATCATATAAAATTTGGGGTGGGTGGTGAGAAGGGAGGAATGCAAAGGACATCACCATTGTGGTGTCTGTAGGTAGGCAAGTTTGAGTAGTTGGTGAGAGTGTTTTTATAAATAAGGGGAGTAAAAACGCTGCTGCAGCATCCTCCTCCATCTGAAAGCCAATTTTTAAGTAGTCCTTAAATGAGCAGAAATTGATAAAGCCAGCTGGTGCAAATGCAGCTGTGGCCAATTTGATAATTGCCTTGTCAGCGCATGGGAATAAACGCCTATAGTCAAATCATAGGCAAAATTGGATTGTGGAATAAGAGAGGGTGAGAGGATGGGGGCAAGAAGGGTGGATGCATGCCAGGTGGAGCGCTAAGTCCCATGGGAACAAAATGGCCAGAAGAAGATAGTGGGCTATTCAACCCCATGCAAACATATTTTTCCACAGGGCAGAAAATGCTAGGTGGTGCAGCACCACTACCCCACATTGAAGCAGCAGGTGGCAGATCTGCGGACATAAATAGGAAAAATTGGTGTGGCCAGATGGTGGTGGTAAAATAAACTTTTTTTAAGAAATTTCTCTCAAAAGTGAAATCAAGTGGAGATAAAAGTTTTTAATAACAATTCTATGGTAAATACTTGAATAGAGGTTGAGCAGTTGCCACGCTGATGCTGAATTCTATGTTTGTAAATATTTGCTATTTATGGATTAAACCACACACTTCCTATATTTATTGTAAGGCAACTATTTTCTGTCCAATCTGATATTAATACCTTTATACTGGAAAATCCAGAACATCTCATATTTGGTGCATGAGGTAGGACTTGTGGACTAGGTTATCTATAAAATGGTATTTGATCAAATTTGGCATTTGAAAATAACCAATTAAATCAGATTAATTAAGATAATTTCTGCATGAAGTGAAGCTGCTACCAGAAAGCCTAAACAGTATATACTATGTCATGGTCATTAAGTATGCTTTATGTTTATGAGATTTGTGACTATATTCTAGGCCACATACTCAAAGTTTATCTCTTTTATTGAGTTTGATTGTTAGATGGTTTTTAATTGACAGTAATTACTTCAACTTTGTTTTTTTATTTAGTATGTTTTGATTACTAGTATGACCAATATTATCAACTCTTATTTGTATATAAAACATTCTATTTATGGCATGAACATGTACTATTGCTGGGGGTATGTTCAAAATCTAGGCAAGTATGAAATTATTGTATGATGAGCTTATATCATTATAATAATCTATCATTTTTTCATATATTGACCAATAATACCAACAGGAATTAAAGTGAATTATTGTAGATGGCAAAAAATTTAGCATACATTATCTAACAAAATAAACTTGATTTAAAATGAATTAATTGTATATGGCAATCATAAGTATAGCATACATTGATTAATAAAATCAATCCATCAATAAAATGTATTTTGACATGAATATGTTTATGGCTGGCAGACTCTCTCTCTTCTCAGCGTAACTTTCCGAGAAAATTAATTTTGGTAAATTAAAAGTAAACACTTAATTGCACATTAAAGTCTTGCTCCGATGTTGTTAGATCCCCCACCTACTGTCCCAGCATGGAGTAGTGGCGAAACTCCCCCCTCCATTTTCCATTCAACAGGAAAACACGCTTGACTGGCTCGCCCAGTCAATCCAAACCCTTGGGACAATTCATTCCTCCTAAGGATCTTGATTCCCATCTCACCCAAACCCAAGTGGTGCCCCGCTGCCCCCTGGT